CTTCAAATCTCCTAATTCATTAGGGCACTTCCTACCCCTGGGGATCCCTTTTGGAAAAACGTATCTGCACACAAATTTCCTCCTCTGGCAGCACCCCCTAGGACGGTGACGCCGCCAAAGTTCTATACAAGTACAAAAAGTCCTAAAGATAAGCCCCCTCCCTTCTCTCAAAGCGACAAACAAATACGACCCTCCTCCACCAATTTGAGTGAGTCTCCCATAGTTTTGGGTAGCACGCGTGAAGCGTGAAAAAAATCAGCGATCAGAAAAAAAATTTCTCAATCAAATACGTCCCCTCCTCGCCCACCACCCATCAAATACGACCCATACTCTCTGGGCATCCTCAGCGTACGTCGTGCTCAGGCTCTAACATCGCTGATGTTCCGCGATAACCCGACCTGGAACAGAAAAATTAGGGTTTGTACAAGAACCGGACAAGAATTATGGGCCAACCTTATACGTGTATAATTAGCTGGCTAATTGATTCTTCTTTGAAGGTGGTCGATACGAGATCCAGTTTTCGCGAAGGGAATGTGGTGTTATGACACTCCTGGAACTGTGAATGATCAGCAGGTGTGAAACCATCGAGTTTCCTCGCACTATCTTTGATTCACTATGTTTTTCAATTGTAACGGAATCTATTAGTATTTGCTCACATTTAATTTTTTATTGTGGTGAAACATATATGAAAAAAATTTCCCTTCAAGAATTCTTTCAGGTGCTAAATTTGTTTACTTTGGATGAATTAATCCATGTATTACCGCGACGGACTTCTACAGCCACGTACAGCACTTGTACCTGTGGGCTACTCGTTGCTAATTGGTGGTGTGGCTCGGATTGATGTTTTAGATACTACACAAGAAAAGATGGTACTGGTAAGTATCTGCAGTATTTGCAGCATTATTGCGTGAGATGTAGTGTGCAGGGCGCGATTGGGCTTGGTGGGGGCATTTTGTTGGTTCCCTTCGACCATTGCTAGTGCCTGCTGTAGAGTCCTGTAAATACTTGTGGAGCTGTGTAGTAGAGTGAGCATCGTTTACCCTTGACAAGGGTCTACAGGTTTTGCCAAAGCGAAACGTGTAGCTCAACAGCACAACAGGAATTTGCAGTAGAAACATGCAAAAGTGCAAGATGCCCCTCCCACGCCGAACAGCGCCCATTTCTGTACTATTCTTTACCACGGCGTCAATACCTGCTTCTTTTTTTGATTGTAAAATCTAAGCTTTCAGCTCACTAGTTTCGTCAGCGATGATTTACCGCTGAACTGCATACCTACTGCTGAGGTGGAATCATTCCTTCAAGGAAAACCTCGGAACCAAAGCATTAGTGGTCCCGTGTGGAGGAAATGACAGAATGGCGCACTGGCCCGCTATGGAAGGCCAGGATTTCAAACTCAAGGGAAAGGTATATTTTGTTACTGGTTTATAAAAGAAAGTATAAGATTTTTCGTTTCAGGAAGGCGGAGCTGTGGCAGACATAGTGCTGTCATCGGTTGGATGGGTTTTGTTGTCTAGTCCTGCTAGAGTGCCATCCATCAAAATCCGATCCTATACTCCTGGTGGCAAAGGGCTAGCAACCAGATCGCCAATGTTACCGTATGCAGCCGAACTACGTGGAAAAAGAATCCCCGGAACACGATTTTACAAGGTGAGCAACATTTATGGGTCAGTTCTCTCGAGTTTGTCACGGGAACTGTCTGAAATGGATTCAGGGGCGATTGCTGTTGCTGGGGAAATGTTCGCGATATACGATTCTTCCCCAATGTTCCTCTCTGGTGCGATCTCTTTCCGCCATGCTCCCATACTACCTGCCACCTTCCTGAGCTTTTCACAACTTTCTACTACTTAATTTTTCCAGAATTTGGCGGAAACTTCCCTTTCTTCCCGCAGAAAACTGCCGCTTTTTTCCTTTCTCGTTCTCATTTTTCTCAAGGCCGGATATGACACCCCCCCTGCTCTCTCCAGAGGACCAAATGTGAACTTCGTTGGGTTACCCACGATGTGATGGATTCTTATTTGGATCTGTTGATTTCTGGATATCTGTGCGCAATGGGTGTGAGTTCGCAACATTTGGCGTAGGCAAACTTATAATGCTCCTTTAGTTCCGATTTCCGATTTTCGATTCTCAGTCAGTGTTGAGTATCGTGCGAAGTGGCGGTTTTTTCCGAGTTTTTGGTTGCCTGGGATCAATACCTAGAAAGTCCAGAAACAATGCAGCAGAAGCTGTTTGACATCGGCTCATCCCGTTTAGAATGCGCCATGTATTCAACTTTCAAATGGAATCTCAGAGATTTCAAGAAGACAAGTGTGTTCCCCCCCCCCTTATTTTGACCGGGGCACGCTTTAAGTGCCTGTTCTTGTTGTTTACCCATCGCAGTAATTTGCGTGCCCAGTGTCATCGCCCTATGGACCCATTGAGATCTCGCATTAAACAACGGCTCCCAGGGTTGAAAAGCCTAGTGGGTCTGGTTGAGAATGGATACAAGCCTCAAATGTTGAAGAAGCGCCTATTGACACTGTATCATATCTCTCCTTGGAAAAAAACCGAAGGGTAAAGAAGTACTAAGCGCAGATCGATCCCTTTTCAATCTGCGCCGTGCTTGCAACTACCATTTGGCATGATGAGGCCATTGGAAAGCGATTTGGCATGTGTAGTGAATGGCGGGTGTCAGGCAATCGATAAGCGGGGTTTCATTCTTCCAAACACATCCACTACCAATCTGCAGATCTCGAAGGCTTAGAAGTATTGGTTCGCTTGGGGTTCCAGTTCGGCATTCAATCCCTGGTCGTTAGCTGCGTTCACCCTCTGCGGCAGCGTCCACCACCGCTCCAAGCGTCCGGCAGCGTTCCGGGCGTCGGCAGGGTCAGCGACTAGGAAAGTCACATATCGATATAGCGTCTGCCAGCGTCTGCCAGCCCGGAAAGGGAGCATGGCGCGATAGGAGGGAAGCAAACTCCTGGTCGCGCCTACTCTCTACCAGCGGTCTGCCACCTTCCTATCTCCCATACTGTGCCAGCTGCCTGCTAGCCTCCTTTACGAAATACTCTCCTCTCCCGGACGCTGATAGAGCTGGTGCAGGCTGGCAGACGCTAGATCGATACCTATACTTCCCCAGCCTTCGAGACACCGTTGGAAGCTGGTAGACGCTGGCGCATGCAGGTAGATGCTGGTAGACGCTGTCGCGAAATATGAACACAGCCTCGCAAGCACAGTTCGCACAAATCACATGGACAGAAGATACGGGCAGGAACTACAACCATTGGACCTCCCTCATTGATAGGCTTCCCCTTCTACGACGGTGAAGCGGGGGGGGGGAGCGTGGCAATGAGGACGGAAGGGAGCTCTCCGGCTAAAGGGTGGGGTGGACATTTCAAATTTTCAATAGTTTCTTTTGCTGGAGCCTCTTAACTGCCAGAAATCTCGGCCGAAAGAGCCCCTTTTGGGGGGGGGGGAACATTGGTGAGACCTGTAGACCTTGTCGACTGTAAACAAGTCTTGTGCTACTGCACAGTTTCACAGAAGTTATCGGGTCTCCCGTGTATGCATCGGCAGTGACCAAAGGGAATCGGCGAAATGCCCTACCAAGCCGCATTGCGCATAGGCCTTCATGAGTCCCCGCCCATTTCTAAGCCATTTCGACTGTCGCGGAATGTATCTCTAGAAGGTGCACTTACCAGCATTGTCTGCGTCTCACGGGCTGTATCATGTATCAGTAGTTGAAGAGAACACGGTTAGCAAGTCATTTTGTTTATTAAAAGACGTTTTTTAGGTGAAACCTGTGGAATTCCCAGTAAACGAAAGGCGTGCGAAAGCGCGCAGACACAAGCGTTTCTCCAATGAATCTAAACTCTAGTAGTTGTTTGTTATGTTGTTATCTGTTATGAGAGTCATCTAATAAACATTGAATGTAAAAGTTTCTGTTGTGAAGCCCGGTTTCGTTTCCGCGGAGATATTTCTTAATTTTCCGTTATTTTTTGTATTTTTTACGGATTTTATACTGTTAAGCTATGTAACGCACCTAACCCTGTCTAATGGATCTCCGTTGCAAAACGAACGAATTGTTGGAAAGTCATTCGTGGCTGAAACCAGCTGCCTACTTGTCGACATTTATTATTGTATTAATTTGCTTTGGATTTGGGTGAGCAGTTTATTGCTATTTTTTTCTACTATGCTTCACACACAGTTTCCGCGATAATCGGATGGGCGGAGACTCATGTTCATCGTGGGTTCCTTTGGCGCTCCTCGCTGGAGGACGGTGTTTTAAGACTGGTCTACTCTGGCGAAACCAGGGCACGCTGTATAGGGATCCTTTTCTCGGTCGTTCCTATTTCGAGTGCCCCTCCCCCTTTCCCTCTCGCTTGACGACAGTTTTTGGGGAGGAATGCAAAAAAAAATGGTAGGAAGACGGTAAGCAGGATGGGAAAGGAAGAAATTTCGAGGGGGGATTGTATTTTGCAAAACTTTTTTAGAACGGCAGGACGTGTTCTGGGCGAAACACACTGTGCGAAGATGGGTCGGCGCTCTTCCTGATCAGGGATCCAAACGGGAGAAGTGGCGTGACAATCTCAGAAGAGCGGACCCCGATACAGAGTTGGCCCTCTTCGCTGCATTATAAGAAAGGGCGCGCCGATGGGGATAGCACAATATCTAAGGATCTCCGCCTGAGAATTATCACGGAATGTGTCTTTAATTTCAGTTTTGCGGTGTCTTGGGTTTTTTTTAAGATATTTTGAGTGCTTCTCCAAATATTGATGTTCAAAAAATTCTTCGGAGACGTCGTACGATTCGGGAGGACTTTGGTCAAATTTTGAGAAACTTGAGCGTGGATTTCTGAAATGAAAATTAAAATAATAAAATTTCTAAAAAAAAAAAATAAAAAAGTATTCTAAAATGTGTTTTCCTTCTTCCCTCAAAAATGTGGCTGTTTTTCAAACTGATCTTGGTCCTCACTTCTCATACCTTTTATTTGAGATTCCGATTTTCAGAGCTCTTCCTATAGCATGTTGTCTTTGCTCGTTATTCCTTGGAGCCAGCATTGCGGCTTGGATCGCCAACGATTCAATGGCCGCTTTCTTTATCCTCTTGTTCATGTGTGGTTCTCAAGTCAATTCAAGGAAAATCGACGACCCTTGGGAAACGTGGACTTATCATCTGAGAAACGCCGTGTGGTGCCATGGAAAGGTAAGGCTGAGGAGCTCTTTCAACTCAATGAAAGCTGTCCATCAGTGTGTTCTCTAGAATCGATTTTCTACCAATCAGTTCGAATGGGGCGATGTCGGGTGAGGTGAAGTAGTGGAAAGCGATCCACTTACCATGCACGTGGTTTCGGGTCCAATGCCGGACCGGCTTCCACTTGGACTGGCCAAGCTCTCTATCCTTGGGACGGCCAATTGGTACCAGTCGTCTGGGAGGATCTGACCTGTTCCAGTTACTCTGTATGCCACATCGTAATCAATGGGCTACTATGCTGTTGAATGGAAGAAGTGGACGCTGCCTCTCAGAGAGGATCGGACTGCTGCGGAAGCTTCGTCTTTCGTATGACACTCGGTACACAAAGGGTGGGGTTAAAGCGGTATGCTCGAGTATGGAGTAGTGCCAGGTATCGCTTCCATGCGATGCGTCGAAGATCGTTCTCCGAATTTCACCTCGCCCAGGTCACTCGACCCTCAGAGATATGCGCGGCGCGTTTATTAATTAACGCAAAGCGGGACTTGAGAGCCAGGAATGTGGTGGAATTTGTTCTGACGTCCCTCTTTCCTTATCAGCTCACATCAGCTGTTATCCCTTCCCGCCTCCCATTAGCAGTGTCCCCGTCTCATCCCATACAAGTCGTCATCAATGGAGCCAGTTGGGGCGTGTCAGCGGTGCGAGGATTTGGCGCGGCGCCAGCCATTTTCATAGAACGTCGCCGCTTAGGGCGTTCTGTGTGTGGTGTGAAGGGAACGGCGCCGCGCCCGATTGTCTCCCGGATAACGACTGTTGAAACCCAGCAGCAGTGAGACTTCGGTTCCAAGAAGTGATATACGGGGCAGGAAGCACTAGTGAAGGGTTACAGGAAGTGACGGCATCTGATAAAGCCTCATAAGAAGGGAGTGCCGCTGCAATCATAGCGTCCATCGCAGTAACAAAGGGACCTTGATTCTAATGGGAAAGGCGCTGTGAATTGAATATACAGGGGGGGGCAAAAAAAAGTCATTTCGGCCGAGCCACATATCAACGAAGTTTTCGCAGCCCAGACAGGGGAAGTGGATATGAGTACCAGAGTGGAAGATACCCAAGATCTTCCTCTATAAGCTGGAGCAGTCTGCCGCCAATCGCCTTCATGTACGCCAAAATATGAAGTCATCTCCAGTCGCGGCCTGACTGGAGAACACCTTTGGAATTCACGTCGCCTCCAAACAGCTGCGAAACTTCTTGAATGAAGTCATCCACAGATAGCTACCTGGAGGTCAGTACTCTTGATCTGCAAGACCTCCCACATCGAGCAGCTTCGTCAACTTCGCTACGGTCTAGGACATCATCTTCACCGTATTCGCCGAGGCGCGAGTTGATGGTATGGACCGGGGTACCTGGAAAGGGGAAGACCGATATTTTCTTTGTAGACCCCGACTGAAGGTGAGCGCTGGCGGTTACATCAAGTAACTCGAGAAGGATATCCTCCCTACATGTGGTCGCCCGTACCGGGGATCGGGTTGGGGAGACTTGTGCTGCTACAGGTTTGGGTGCCACCACATGGAATCGAAGGGTTTTGGAAAAACTCCCGCCTACTTCGAATGGAAGGGCGTTTCGTACCTGAAGAAGATGTAATATTGAAGTATGTCCCCTGACCTGAACCCACTCAATTACCTAGTTCGGGCGGACTCCAAGAGGGTGGTCTACGGTGGCGGAGAAATCGACTACCCCGCTGATCTCAGGTACCACATCGCGGTCGTCGCGGTTGCGCCAGAATCTCTGCGATGGCGCTTCCTCCAGAAGGAGCTAGTGGCCGACGGAGTATCATTATAGTATTTAATGTGCTCTTTAATATGGTAGTAAAAATGTCCGATAAAAATTTAATAAAGTGTAACTTATAGCGCCTTGAAAGTCATGGAGGCAAAATGACTTTTTTTTTTGGCCCCCCTGTATACTCTAGTTCGCTGCGGACGGTTGGGCGTGTCAGGCAGTATGAGTGTGTCACCCGTCAAAGCCGTTCTCTGCCTTCTTGTTGAAGCGCGCATGCGACAAAAAGTGGTAGAAAACGAGTAATACGAACGATATGATACAGTCATATCACTTGCTCGCTTTACAACTGGTGGAGAACAGGTTTGGCACCGCGCCAAACTCATCCCGCCTGACACGCCCAACCGTCCGCAGCGAACCACACTATACAAATACACACACTTAGTATCATACTTCGTGAGTTATATCATATAAGTAGGAGTATAGTATCACCCCTGAGAATTGTTGGCAGACCCATAGCAATCAATTAGTTAGCTCTTTGCAGTCATTGTATTCTATTACTTATTTTGCGTTTTCATTTTCCTGATTCCTTTTACTGTCGGACATTCTTTATGAGATGTTTCAGAACTTGAAGTGCCGGCGTTAGTAAACGATGCTCTTGAAAGTCTGCTTGATCAAATTATTGATGAATACGTGAATAATTGGTACGAATCCGAGATAAGTCATGATCGAGCATTCATCAATGAGATAAGGTACCTTTCTGAGCTCAGATCCCATTTCTTTTTTTTTGGGGGGGGGGGGTCAAGGAGTATCGTTGATCCCCCCAAAAAATATTTGTTGGATTTTTATTTTCAGGTATCAGATTCGTTTTGCGTGTTCTAAAGCTTTAATGAAAGCAGCGGCGCTTGATCTGCCAACAATAGTCGCCGAAGACTTTCTACCGACTATCGCTTTACATATGCATCGAATCATGGAAATAGAGAACGAAGTCTCTGAGAAGGCAGGTTTTATCCACCTCAGTTAGCATGCTTTACATATCTGTATCTGTGAAGTTTCTGTACTATCACTGGGATAAACTCACCATTACAGACATAGTCCATGCTAATCGTGTGGGCGGAGTCAGGCCTACCACTGCGCTTTTCTCAATGGCGCTGCTCCGCTCGTTTGACACGCTAAGGGAGAGGGACATGCCAGCAGGGAGGACGCAGTAGCCCGTCCCGGTCGCGCGAGTACCTGTGAGCAATGACTCCACCCACGATGGTCATCGGATGTGCTTTTGTGGTATGAATTGGGAGTTATCGAGCCCTTTTGCTGATCCCTTTGTTCCGCCATACTCTTTTGAAAACGCTCCACCCTCTTCACTGGAGCTCTCTCAAGCAACCACACACACACTTTTATCAGCTTTGAAACAGATGTAGCCGATAAAGAGAAGTTTTCGGCACTATTTACCCTTTACTGCCCCAGCCATCCGAAAATCAGGCCAGTTCCTGACCGACTTTTTCTCCGTGGGCAGAATTTGCTGAAAACTTGGCTCCGGGGTAGTTCGCCATCTGAACAGGAATAATCGCATCGCGCTTGACGCGAAAAAAAACCTCCTGGCACTCGCAAGCCACGGGGCCGGTGCAAGATACTGGAAAATCACGCAAATTCGCATGAAAACTTTGCTCCGGGGTAGTTATTGACCCCATGACACGAATTATGCCATATCCGCTCAATCCGAAACCTCCTGGCGCCCGCACCACGGGCACCGGCGCCAAAATACCCCAAATCATTGGCGCCTGTGGCGCGGGCGCCAGGAAGTTTCGGGCTGAGCGAATGTGATATTCGTATTCTGGAGGTCAAACTACCCCAGGAGACAACATTTGAGCAAAATCTGCCCACGGAGAAAAAAGTCGGTCAGGAACTGGCCTGATTTCGGATGACTGGGGCAGTAAAGGGTAAATAGTGCCGAACTTTGAATACGACCTGCCCCTCTACTGTACGAGCCCGTTTCACCTTTCACTGGAATCCAAGTCCGATGAACATCACGATTCTGGTTCTGAAAGCAAACGCTGCGTACTTAGGCTTATCACGTTCACTGGTCGAAAGCGCCAATATTTGTAAAGGCTAGTAGACTGGTACATTTTTGCATGGGCCAGTCGAAGGGAACGATTGACTATCTGGACAGGATTAAGCTGTGTGGTTTCTTCGGTAACCTGGTGGATCTTACAGTTTCCGTTTGAATTCTTATTGTCTAAGTCGTAAGGCTTAATTCTTTCTGTTCAGAACTAGCAGAATTTTTTCGATACGAAATTTGTTGATGATACGCATCTTGCTGGGAGAGCATAATTTGAAACGATAAAAAGTCCGTCGCGTGAATTTCCTGGTAAATGGTAGGAATATGGTAAGTGACACTTTCTGTTGTTACCGGTGTTTTATCTCGCTCTTAGCCAGCGTTCAGACTTCACGAAAGCAGCTCTTCGGTCGCGCGTTGAAGCGATCGACGCAGTAGAAAGCATGCGCGATCGACGCAGTAGAAAGCATGCGCGATCGATTGCGTCGAACGCGCGAAAGCGGTGCCGTCGCGAAGTCTGAACGCTGCCTTATACTGTAGTTTTCAGTCTGCGTGGCCGTCTCACTCGGCGAGACATTTCCTCCGTGAATTGGTTGTGAATGCGATTCTTCTTCCCTGCCTTGATCTGATCGCTGATCCAGACACCATCAAATCACCTACTGATATTGGCGTTCGATGCACAGAAAGCAGAAGATGAAGAAGTGTCGCAGCTTGCTAATAGTGTAAGTGACAATGTGTCCTCATCCCCTAATGCCTCATACATATATGGTACGTTTTTAGAGCAAAGATGTGAATTTCCTCATGAATTTCACCGAGCCTCCCTCGCAAACTGTCCCGGATTCGTTGCTCCAGTTGAAGTTGAGCGAGGTAGAAGCCCTTTGCAATTACAGTTTTTATGTTTTTCCTCTTACATTGTTGTTTTCAGTTATTGAGGGATGCACGACAATTCTCCATGTTCCGTCTGTACCTGCAAGACACTCGTGGACCAGTTCATGAACTGAGTTTCTTAGCCGAAGCTTCTCGTATTCACGACAGTATGCAGCGGAAGGTGGCTTTCCATTATGTTATATTGTGGTCAGGGTACAGTATCATGGGTGGAATCCCATAATCCCATCGGGGAGGGTCGCTACGTCTCGCTGTGCAGGGGTCGTATCTGGCTTTAGGGAAACTTCCACGCAAAACAAAACGAGAAAAGTTTTTCGGAATTAATGACTTTTTGCGAATTTTCGCGTTTTAAATATGCCCCCCCCTTAGTTGTTGGCACCGCGGAGCTACTATACAGCTACTAATTCCAGTGGTAGGTTTTGGTGATTGATCGGTGTCGGAACTGCCCTTCATCGCTCAGCAAGCGTTTTTTGGGCAGGACTGAATTTTTTCTGGAAAATTACTAGGTTGGGAGCATTTGGGAAGCTGGTAGGGGAGTGGAGTCGTACTGAAAGAAAATTTGGGATGGGTCATAGTGACATCTCTAGTTCATCCGTCCCGATAGTGTACTCTGATAGTGGAAATTCCTCGTTAGCATGGAGCAAAGTGTCGCTCAACGTTGCGGATAGCTGCGCCCAAACCCCAGGCCCATAGTGGATAGCTCCGCTACGTAAGAGCTCTATCCCCGCTGTCCTTGGCGCGAAGCAGCCAGTCGGCTTTTTCTAATGAATAGAAAATTGTTTTAGACTGAATCTTCGGGACAAATAGCTTATGACATCTGGCAGCTTTTCGGGCAATTTGTTCACGACAGTGCCCCAGAAAAGATAGAATTCGATGAGGAAATCGTTAGCGAGTTCAAAGCCGCAGTCGAATGCAACAACCTTTTGCTTCTCGATAAGATCATTGAAAAGGTAAGCAATTTCCTAGTCGAGAACTGAATGCGTAATGATGGAATTGAACCAGGAGTCTTCTCTTCCCCAGACGAGCCACTCCGTCTGATCCCACTAGGTATAACGACGGTCTCTCGACAAACCTTGTTCCATACAAGATTTGAATTGAAACTCAGTGGCTCTCCAGTCACATTCACTTATTTTTGAGTTTCTTTATCTGCGTTTCGAGGCGTTGTTCGGCTTAGGTGGGAGTGGGCACTTTGCATTTTCACTAGTTTCTTTTGCTAGTTCCTACACACTTTGGTAAGATCTTTACACCCTTGTCAAGTGTAAGCAAAGCTCCTGCTACTTCATAAGCTCACAGGATCTTAAGGTTTTCGTGAGTGGCACTGGCTGTGGGAGCTAGCAAAATACCCCCACCAGGCGTAACTGCCCGTGTTTTGATTTTTCTTAAAGATTTGCTTGATTTCAGTCATACCAAGTCGTCTACCAACGGATGCAAGCTGATCACGTAATCCCATTTTGCCAATCTGATGCATTTTTGGGGTAAGTTTCTGAGAAATGAATACCCTTACGTTTCCCATTTATTGGGGAAAATATTCAGGTATTTATGCGGTAGTC